AATTCCAAAACTTGCATTCGTGAAGACATCTCTTGCTCTTTCTTGCATAACAATGCCTTCATCTTCTTCTCATTGAGAGATTATTCTGTGCGGAGTCCGGACGCATCCGGAGGCCAATCCATTCGGTGACGTGATGCGTCCGGAATATCCTCCTGACGCATCCAGACACCGGACAAAATAATCTATCCTTGTTCCTATTCTCATAGAATCTCCCATTGTGATTTCCTCTTCTCCCGCAAGCTCCCATTGGAGCTTTCTCAAGTCAATGAGCCCAAATCTATCAATTGCAAGCTTCTACATCCGCCAATTACAAACCCCGGTTGATTCCTTCACATACGACCGATCGCAAACCTTCGGCCAACATCTTAGATGCCTTTTTTTTTTGAAGAATTGCATCAAATTGCATTAGGAAACAAAGTAACTAATTACAAGTAATAAAAGGATCACATTCCTCCTTGATTAAGTTCAACAACAAGGACTTAGTTGCCTTATTAAGAAATGCATTTCGTTCAAACTTATTTTACAAGCAATTAAACGCAAAAAATTAAATTTTTATATTTATTTTACATGCAATCAAATATAATTAAATATTTCAAATATATTAATTTTATTTTATATTTTAATTAGAAATCATTATTATTTTGTTATTTATTAGGACCAGTTCAATTCAAATGTTGTAGTAAAAATGGTCCATTTGTCATTTTATCAGTCACACTGACTTGCTCTTGAAAGCGTGGTTTTTTAATTTAATTTATATTTTAAATATAAGTTAATCATTAATTATAGTTTTAATTACCGTTATTAAGTTATAATTATAAATAATATAATTAAAAAGATAACTCAATTATCAAATAACATAACTAATGATTTAATTACTGATTACAATACCGGTTATCTAATTATATATTTAGATGTTATTCTAATTAATATTTGATTACTAACTACATTGATTATTATATTATTAATATTTGATTATTATTTTAAATAACAAATTATTTGATTACTTTTTATGCTAATATTTATTTATTTAAGTATTCTATTACTAATTAATTAGTTTATTATAAATTATATAGCTAATTCTCTAATTAATTATTTATATTTCAAATCATATTAATCAAATTAATTAGATTAATTTCTAATTAAGAAAATAGAATTTTTTTTTTTTTGGAAAACCCACATATGGGGCCTACACATTTCACAAAAGATAATAGTACATGTCCTTATAGGATCAAAAGCTCACTAAACAAATAGTCTCTAAAATAAAACCTAAGAACTAATGATCCAACTAAATACAATCAAACATACATAAAAATAAAGGAATAACACCATCTCGGAATGAAGAACAAAACCCATAATAGAAAAACGAAGCCTCAACACACACAATCAACCATAGCCTTAAAAAAACACATTCAAAACAAAGTGACAACCACCAAGGGGGGAAAACCACACCACCCACACATCCCAACCACAACAACATTCATCCAACCCAGCAACTCCCACACGAAAATCACAGGGTAAACCACCACCAACCCATATAAAGCACAAAAGACAGACTCACAACAACCACAATGGCAGGACACCGTTATTTTTTAGATTTTGCGCTTACCAAGCTTACCAACATGAGAGAAAGAATTATCAACGACTCGACTCACATCAAGCCCATAAACACAAGAAAAGAACCAGCATGCTCATCCCTCATGTTATCATCAACCCCGCAAAGAGAAGCAGGTAACTCGTCAAGCCTTTCAGAATGCCCCAAATAAGTGTCCCCTGATCTAGAGATAAATTTAGCATTCAAAACATTAGGAGAAATCAGTTCGATAGGAACATCAATAAGGGGTTCAATGCCACCAGTACCCACAGGAGAGGGCAGTCAAGCATTATCCATAGGAGAATCAATAGAATTCATATCACTAGATAATTCATTCACCACCATCAAGTTAGCTTGAAAATTTCCCTATCCACCTTAGACCCACCAACCACACTAGCAATAACCAAAGCATTAACACAAGCCCCCACACCATCAAAACCAACTAGGGCCACACCTAGAGATAACTCCAGATTGCCCACAAGAATGTCCACATTAGGACAGACACCACAACTAGATCTATGAATAAAATTTCCATAATTTTCTTGAGCCGAAACAGACACAACCTCTTGCCCCATATCATTAAGCAAAGGTGAATCATCACCAACATTATCGTGAATAGCACAATTAAAATCTTGAGGAACCACCCCATCTGCTACATTAGCAGGAGGATCAATAAGACTATCAATATCCTGCGAAGTAATTTTAGCTGTAGCCCCCACATTCATTGTATTATTATCATGATCACATGTCAAATAAGGATGCAAAATCGGTCATTCAACTTTCGAGTGACCCAAAGCTTTACAGTGAAAACAATAAGATGGAAATTCTTCCATTTTCTCATATTGACTACAACCCATAGTCTCAGAACCCAGCCAAACTTGATTATGATAACATTTAATAACATTTAACTCGATTAGAATACGAGCAACTGAAGGCCTTGTGCCATTAGTGGTAGCATTATCCATTCTTAAGCGACAGCCAAATGGAGACCCCTAACCATGCAAAATGTGTGTGTATGGGGGTGAGGACAAAGATTGGGAAAAGAAACCCAAATAAGAATGGTAGGGGATTCCACATTAACATCAAAACGGGGACTCCACTTGAAAAGCTTCATAAAACAATTATTGACAAAGTAAGAGCGGTGTGAAAACACCCTGCAATAATCAAGTCATTCACTAACTTAATTAACATATTTTTTTGGATTTAGCAAAGTGACAGAGAAATCACCAAGTTGAAGAAAAAATTTTGAATCGCATCGAGAGGCGGACTATGCCCATGAAATTTCTCAACTAGTGAAAATTCAAAGGGGTTGCAAGAGAAACCATTTCCTTATCCAAATCACCAAAGCTGGTAAACTATCATGAGAGGAAATTTTAAGTGGAGGAAACTCTGGAGAGGCCACATTCCGATACAAAACATCCCTAAAAGATCGCGATTCAGACTTCCCATCAAAAAATATGTGGTCAATCAATCGATTCACAGCCATTCATACTGAAAAACTGGTCGAATGAAGAAAATCAGAAGAAAAACCAGCAGGATTTAAAGAAGAAGAAAGAAATTTAACCAGCCAAAGCAACGCCAGAGAGTGGAAGGAGCGGGGAAGAAAGCCCTAGACATCGCATGTATGTATTAGTATTTAATTTCTTCCCAATAGCTTAGGAGGCGGTTAAGGTTTGCTTTTCATCTTCTATTCTATCTTTTTTGTTCTATTTGTTGTTTTGTTTGAGGTTGATTTTGCACAAGTAACTTCCTTAGCTCCTTTTTTTATGTTGTTCTTTCTCCCTTTATGCACTTCTTTGGCCAAATCCCATAAATCCGCCAAACTCTATGATTTAGTAAATATAGGATTTACAACAAAAAGAGGGAAATGGAGGATTTATTCCACCATGAGATTTATCGGCTTCTCAAATCCCATTTGGCAGGATGTCACATAAATATTGTTGCCAAACAGCCCCATAGAGTGAAAATTTTATTTCAATTAAAAGCTAATTTTGTACTTTTAACGTCATAATATTTGTTCTTTTAAAAAAATTAGGAGTATAGTAATATGAATTTAATATAACAGAAGTCAAAACATGACTAACAAATATTTAAAGATTATTGATATATTATAAAAAATCATCTTGGTCGGATACGAATCTTAATGCATATTTGAATATCTCAGTGAAACGAACCAAACACCACCAAGAGTTCTCTAATTAGAGTCCTAAATGTGTCAAATCAAGCACTTGAGGTATAAATGAAGACTTTAGGGCATTAATTGGATATCAAATAATATTTAAATCTTGCATGCTTATAATTGAATTGAGTGTCTTGACAAGACAATTCCATCGACCCCAAGATTGCTTAAATATGACATTATTAAGGTGCTTAAACACTAGAGAAACTATCTCTACTCAATAGAATTAATATGGGTTGCATGTAAAGTGTATTAAAATTTCTCATGTTAATAGGGCTTGCCACTCTTAAAATTCTTTAAATAGGCCCACACTCTCTACATAAAAAGAGAGCTGAAACCTGGACTTGTGCTTGAGATTCAAGAGAGCTCAGAGACTCTAAAAATCTCAGAGCTCCACCCGAGTACCACTATTGGGCCACCATCCAACCGTCATCATCAAGTTGTCGTCTGTTCACCATCAACACACCACCACCAGCTGAGTATAATCCTCCTATCACTATTATCCAACTGTCATCCACAACCACCATAGCCTAGCTACAACTCTATGTCATCCATTGCCTGGCTATGAACCTCCAACCACCATCACTAGACTACAATCCTTTCACCGTCGTCGCCTAACTATGTTCCTCCAACCATCATTACTTGACCATAGTCTTCCAACTTCCGTCACCTAACTTGTCACAACCTAGCCTAATAAAAACCATAGACATAATGAGTCATATTGTGTTAACTTGCAATAAGCCAACCCAACATTAAAGTTTTGGAAAAGTTTTCAATTTTTTTCAAATATAATATAAAAATAAATAATAAACAATGAAGCTACTAATACATTTAGGCCATTTAAGTCAAACTCACACGCACAATGCATACACATAGACTTGAACCCTAGATCTCATAATTTAAAGCCTAAGGTCTCAACCAATAAACCAAAGAGAGATGTGTTACTACAATCTATCACTACAAACTAAAATATGGAACAAAGTAATTTAAATAAGTAACAAATTTCCATTATAATATTCTTAACAAATCATATAAATCATCCTATCTATACTAATCCAAAAATTAAATGACAATATATATATACACACACTAGATTAATAACCCCTAAACACGAACAATTATTACGTCCTCCGATCAGATGCAGAGGAACATTCGGTCGTAGGCAAAATCCCGCCTATACCGAGGTGTACCGAGTTTTTACGGTATATGCGGGATTTTACCTACGACCGAATGTACCTCTGCATTCTTACACCGGATCAAATAAAAGTTCCCTAAACATAATCATCCAAACTCCCAAGATTCCAACCACGTCGTCTTTTCCTTCCTCCGTCCTTTAAAACAATGCTCTCCCCAGCTCTCCCTCCATCCCCTCTCAAGCTTTCATCAGATGCCACCATCGGAACCCCAAATCGCCGCCGCTTCCGCCTCACAGCTGGCGACGGGCTTCGATACTTCTCCCGAATCCTCTGGCTTTCCAATACTCATCGATCTCCGACGCGCGAGCCTAACCAAAGTGCTGGATCGTTATGAATCCTCCATCGGGAACGCAAACCCTAAATCGATTCGCAGCAACTCGAAAACTCTCAAATCGGGCTCGATGCGGATCACTTTGGCCGTCAAACCCGAGAGCCCTATCATCGCCTTACCGAGCAAGATCATCAGCACGACGACGAGCCTTCAGAGCTTTCCGATGAAGTTCTCCGTCGGATTAGGAAGAAAGACGGCGCTTTCGGAGAGAGATCCAGAGTCGCCGAAGGTTTCGTGCTTTGGAAATGTGTTGCTGGAGCGCGAAAGATCGGGGAAGAAAGCGGAGGGGTGTTGGGCAAGTTTGGTTGGGGTTTTGCGGTGCGGTCGGGTAAAGAGAGAAGAAGGTAGTGGGAAGGATTTCGGGAATGATGTGGTACTGATAGAGGCGGCGCCGGCGCCGGCGCCGGCGCCGGTATTGCGAGGTTCCCGATAGACTCGTAAAAGGAGTTGGGGGCTGTTTTGTGGCAAACATACCAACCACATTAAAAATTTTATTGTTTGGTTGGAAGAGAAGTAAAATATCAAGTTATTTAAAATATGTATTTTAGTTAATTTTAATATAATTGAAATTGATTTATTTTGAACAAATTTTAAAAACAAATATTGTGAAGTAATGTCAGCCAAATCAACAAATAGTTGTTGTTCACCTACTATCTATCATCGCTAGTAGGAGCCACTCATCGCCACCAATCAGCATCGTTCATTGCAAGCATTCATCATCATCACTTCCACTCTTCACCATCAATTGTTGACAATAGCCGGCTATCGCTGTTGCTATATGTCCTTTGCCATTGTCGCTATCGTAATCCATCTCGTATCAGCAATTGCTCCACATGGACTATTATTTTGCTCCATATTCTTTACTTCAAACTAATCATAAAACAATAATCTTCTACATTTATAGTGTACTCAATCAAAACATTCAAAAACATTTTTTAGTACTTTTTAATTATCACCATCTCACACATGTTCATTTGCATGCTACCATCAATACTAAATGCAACCTAATTATTAGCCCCACCACCTCCAACTCATCACAGATGACCATGTTCATATGCTAGTCCTCCTTAATATGCCTCCTAAACCCGTATGAGCATGCATCCATGCAATAGGCATTACATAACTTTTTTTTTTTAGACCTTGTAACGATACGATAGCATATTAAGGGAAGGGCAGAGCAACGTCTAGCGGAGCTCAATCGAGTCAGAGTTCTGACTTAGATACAAATGCAAAGCACCTTTTTCTTTGTTTTGGAGTGGGTGTGTACTATTACCACTACGTACCAAATCATCGGGTGGCTCGCCTGAATGCCAAGTCTTCTTCCGCTGCCAAATTGACATCCTCATTGAGCGCCCTTTCCCCTTCTCCGCAAAGTTGAACTTGGTTAAGCCTATTTATTGGACCGTAAGCCCTGATACATAGGGATGTCAATTTTTGACCCGACCCGAAAACTTGACCAGAACCCAACCCGAAAAATCCGGGTTCGGGTCAACCCGTGAAAGAAATGGGTCAGGTTCGGGTCTAATTTTTGGACCCATTTGTATTTCAGGTCGGGTTTGGGTCAACCCGTCAACCCGCAGGTCGACCCGAATAACCCGCAAAGCTTGTAATGATAAATGGTGTTAATATAATGAGCCGCGAGTTCGACGGTTCGAGGCATCGAGATTTCAGTCTTCCCATTTTACGATTTCATTACTCCTCGCTCTGGCACTCTAGGGTAGAGCCATGGAGGTGCTGGAGGTTTCTTCACTTCTTGATAAGTTGATATCTTCTTCTGATCCTCTGGAGTCTCGACCTCTCGACTCTGGTGAATCTGAATCATCTGGCTTTTAAATTCTTCCTTGAATCATCTTCCTTTCTCTGTTTCTCGATTGCGACTTGCAACAGTTGGTAATATCTTGAATAACTAAATGGGTCGGGTTGATCAGGTCAACCCATTTACGCTCGGGTCAGTGCGGGTTGGACCCGAACCTGACCCCGATACCTGAATTGACACCTCTACTGATACACATGAGCATTGGTAACACCTTAAGTCTAACAAGAGGTACATATTGATTAAGGATAGGGTTTAGCATATTTTATATTGTTGGTCTACCTATATGCATCTTGGGAAGCCTCGAGGATTCCTAGAAAAGCACAAAATAAGTAAAAATGACTTAGTAACTATTAGAGTATGGGAATCTCACTTCATATTAGCAACTTAATTTCATACACTAAGCATAGGAGTGGATATTAAATATAAATTTATTTAAATATTCTTATTGATATATATTTTATTATTTTTATAAGTAATTTTACAAAATGAGAAGTTGATAGAAACTGCTATGATGGAGTTGTAGATGTTCACTCAATAAAGAAAGAGAATTAATTTGGTTAAAATAGGTCTCAATGAGTTTATGTAAATATAAATATTTCATAGTTAAAATATTATTATTTGAATGTTTTATATTATTTTTTAAGGACTAGTATATGCACCATAAAAGATTGGGAATTCATAGTTTTATGCGAGAAGGGTCTTCAGGTGGATTGCCAAAATAATTATACTGTAATTGTGGAATCTTGAATTATGAGGGCATAAAACAGAAAAATAATTATGAATTAGACTTTCAAGACTTATATTATGTTGACCAATACTATCATATAAATTAGACTTTCAAGACTAGCGAGTTAATTTATTTAAGTATACATGTTTTATGAGTTTTTTTTTTAGATCTTCAGTGGATTGTTTTCACAAAAAATGAGGTATTTTCTTGTAGTCGAAGACACCCATTTCATAATAAAAATTTCTTAGGGGACATTTGATTTACTAAAAAAGAAATACATAGTGAAAAGGTGAGATGAGACATTATACATGTTAAAATGCTTTTTCTACTTGAGATGCTATGAGTTGAGAGTCAATATGAATCATTACATTTTGAACACTGTGATCTATCGCAATGCTTAGCCCATCTACGAGAGCTTCATACTCAGTGATCATGTTAGTTATAACAAACTTTAAGTGAAGTCCAAATTATAAAGTGTCAAATTTGAGAGAGATAAGTAGAATCCATGCCCTAGCACCAAATTTTTTAGATGCTCCATTGACATACAATATTTAATGGGGGGATAAAGAGAAAGGAGATAACTTGATTATATATTTAATGGGGAGATAAAAAGGACGGAGATTATTTGATTGAATCAAGAATTATGCTTTCTTCTAAAAAGTTAGCAAATTCTTGTGATGGTGGTGGGTATCCTTTTGATGAGGTTAAAATATAGTGAAATCTATGGATCTTTAGTCTTGTTACTTTTGGAGTTTATGATGAAATGATAATGGGTTTAAAGAGGTATACTAGTAGAAATACCAATACTAGTCCAACTTGGGCTAATTTAGAATATAACTTTAGGGAGTGGCTTTTATGTTGAATAAATAACTAAAAATGATGGTGGAAGGTTGGTAGGATATAAATTATGATATGAAGTTGATGATAAATTTGGTGAAGTTTAAGAGAATGTCAAGGAATAAGACTAAATTTGAGTGCTCCCTAGTTGGGTCGAGAGCTATATGAAAGTAGAATTATTTTAAGGTTTTGATTACTTATTTATTAATCTTAGAGGATTCTTATAAAGTGGAAAAAGAGATTTTAGCGTCTATTTAGGAGGGGTAACAAGTAAAACAAGTAGCTTAAAAAAATCAAGATACTACTTAATATTGACAAATTACTTGAAGTCAACAAGCACCAAATAAACGAAGAGCACTCCACCGGAATATTTCATTCATCAATAAGGACTATAAATCATTTAAGCCCATATTTATAGGAGTCATAATACTCATAGGCAATCACGTTTAGAGGGAAAACATGGAGGGAAAAAGGAAGAGAAAATGGGGTAGGTTGTCATTAATAAGAAAGAGTTCCAACCGCCTATTTTTAATACAACAACAATAACAAGCCTTTATCCCACTATGTGGGGTCGGCTACATGAATCATTTTTCTCCATTATGTCCTATTAAGAGTAAAATTTTCATCTAAATCTAATAAAGAAATGTCATTTATAATACTTTCTAACCAAGTCTGTTTAGGTCTACCTCCACCTTTCTTAACATAAGGCAAATCTAATACATCTACTTTTCTAACCGAGTCATCGGAAGGCCACGATTTTAAGTGACCAAACCATCTAAGGTGACTCTCTCTAATCTTATCTTCCATTGGAGCAACTCCAACCTTTTCATATATATGCTCATTTCGTATCATGTCTCTAAGAGTAAATCCACTCATCCACCTGAGCATCCTCATCTCTGCAACACTTAACTTAATATTATGCTTCTCTTTTAATGGCCAACATTATGCACTATAAAGCATTGCATGTCTCACTACCATCTTATATAATTTTATCTTAAGTTTGAGAGGGGCTTTTCTATCACACAACAAACCTGATACATTCATCCACTTCAATCATCCAACTTGAATTCTACTAATAATATCTCTATCTATTTCACCATCACTCTGAATAATGGATTCAAGATATCTAAAATGTGTACTCTTATTAATGACTTGATCAACCAAAGTCAAAAGCCTCCACTAAATCTATTATTGTTAAAATTACACTCCATATATATAGTTTTAGATCTACTAAAATGAAAGTTTTTAGACTCTAAGGTTGACTTCCATAATTCAAGTATATCTTCAACTCCCTCTCTAATTTTACCAACAAGAAGAATATCATCAACAAAATGCATACACCAAGGTACAACCACTTGCAAATGTTTGGTGATAACATCCATGACTAAAGAAAAAAGATATGGGCTTGAGGCTGATCCTTGATTTAAACCAACTAAAATAGGAAAATACTTGGTCAAACTACCTTTTGTTTAAACACAAGTAACAACTCCAACATACGTATCCTTATGAATTGAATTTAAGCATTATTAACCCCTTTCCTATATAGAACTCTCCATAGCACTTCTCTTGGCACTTTATAATATGTTTTCTCTAAATCAATAAAAATCATATGCAGATCCTCCTTATTCTCTTTATACTTCTCCATCAAACCTCTCAATAAATGTATAGCTTCCATAATAGACTTACTTGTCATGAATCCAAATTGTTTGTGAGAAACATTAGCATCATGCCATAAACTATGCTCCTTAACTCTCTGCCATAGTTTTAAAGTATGACACATTAACTTAATTACTCTATAATTCACACAATCTTGTGCATCACCTTTATTCTTAAAATATGAATTAACACACTCATTCTTCACTTATCTGGCATATTTTTAGTCTTCAAAATAATATTAAAAAGTTTAGTAAGCCAAGAAATTATTTCATCTCCTATGTATTTCCATACCTTTATTGGAATATCTTCAGGTCCAACAGACTATTTTTAATATTTTATTCATATCATGGTTTTCCATATAAGTTTATATATAAAAAATAAAATATAATTAGTTTTTATCATTGGATATTTTCCTTAATCTTTTATTGGATTTTGATATTAGTTTTTATAATTAGTTTTTAGCTTGATTATATTCATTCACGTAATGTGCTACATCAACTTGTGCT